TTGGCAGCGGCGCTGGGATCGTTGTGTTCACTCCCAGGGGAACTACTTCGAGGGTGATGGATGAATTTAATACCTGAGATAAGTGTACGGGTTTTTATAGGCGCAGTCTAGAAACTTTCCGATCGCACCTCGTATACCGTCACCAGACCCTATCCTGAACTGGATGAACACAAGATGGCTATCTTCTGGGTTCTTATGAGAAAGCCATCTTCGGACTGACCGCTATGAAATCCTAAAATCCTATAGATATATCCCACACACCCACCATATTTCCTTCAGATTTCGTATTGTTATCATCTACGCCTAGGTCTTCCAAGAGGCCTCTTCCCTTCATGTTCTGTCAAGGTCAAAATTGTATCAGCATTTCTTATACATATCCCGTGCAAACCAAAATAAATTTCGGTCAACAGCTTTATGATTCTCCTTCGAAATGCGTTCAATGGTTTTGGAGACGGGCTTAATGCCCTCTGATTTTATTGGTTTCACCTCTTGCACTTACCGCAAAGAAATCGTGATGACAGACAAGCGTTTATATCGACAGATGACAGATGAAGTAATGTACTGTGGCAGACATGCGATGACAGGGATTACGTGGGAGAAACTCGAACTTAAGGAAACTTAGGTGGGTACAGTGGCCTCAAAATAAATCCGCGCTTGGTTTCCAGTTACAAATACATACGTGGGAGAGGATCGAAGACCGCGAACTGACAGAACATCCTTGTACTATCGGATGTGAAATGTTTACGTTTTAGAAGTTAGACGTAGCGCGTGAGGGTATAGGAGTCTGTCTGCATTACCAATGGTTTATAGTCCGTTCGGTTCACAAAATACACTAGTGGAAAAGTCAGGGTATTAAAATGCAATCGATTGTGTCGAACTGAAAAAGGGAAATTTTGAGTTACACTATCCATGCTCAGACAGGATCTTCTTCCCTTCACCTCTTACAGCGCTGTTCAAGGTCTCTGTTATTTGAGTCCACTGTGTATACAAACAGAAGTACTACAAAAGGCTGCTAAAACGATGTGTAAAATTGTCGATGTTGCGGTTCTGCAAG